TATAACTAAAAATAATCTGTAATTGTTCTTTCAAGTCATATTTAAGGCAATATAAGTTTTAGAGGTAAAAATTAGATAAACGAAAAAGACTACTAATATGGAGTTTGTGACGATCATTGCAGTAGGAATGTAATATTGCATGTACCCCTAATATTGTTTTGGTTTGAAATAACTTTGCAAGGGAAATACGCAAAACATCTCGTTTACCGTTTACCATCGAAATACTGTCAAGGATAACACTAGTAGTTGAATTAATCTATACTACAACGAGCCAGTGAATCATGTGTAGTCTGTGAATGTAATTTGAAAATGCTAGTTCAAAAAAGACGTAGATTAATAAGGTTAGTGTTAGAGAAATTAGGCTAAGACTTGAAGTGGTGTGAGAAACAAGTGTCAAAATCAACGCCCCAGCTTCCCTGCTGACAGACGAACCCCAAATTGTGGTCTCTGAGACTGTCTAATAAATGACTGACCTCTGCGCCCCATGAGAATGAAGATATGTTACTGAATTACTCAAGATATGCCTGTAGGTGTTCCAAACAGTTGCTAGTTTTTTTACGGACTCTCATTGGTAGTCTATGAGTTCGTTTGAATCGAATTTGAGCGCAAAGTTGTTTCTTTAAATAATCACATCCATGCAAAAAGTTAAAGCTCTTTTGGATATTGAGCACCCAGAGCAGTAAATAGCTAAGGTAAACCGTTCATAGACATAGTTAATACTGCACTCTTTCTTATTTGGAAGATTCGAAGTTAATTGATTGAGTTTCGTCTTGAGTCATCAAAACTTGACGTATTTGATTGTTTTACAAATACATAATACGTTTTATACAATCACTCGTTAGTTTGATTGCAATACGTTTGCAATACGTAATAAATAAGTTTGCAATACGTAAGCTGCAACAAAGCCTTCTATATGCAAGCTGGGACAGGTTAGGTTATGATAGAAATTTGACACCCATATCAAAAAATATATAGTATATTTGTAAAAAGTGGAAATAAAATTCGTATCCTTGTCTAGCCTGTCCCAACTAATAACTCGAGATGAAGAAAGGACAAGGAGCAGCTAGACGCTACTCAAAGTATATAAAAACCCACTGAGTTGTTCTTTTTTTTGTGCAAAATACTAATGCGAAGACGGCTGCGTTTAATGTGAATTTCAAATGCTTTTTTATCATCCAATAAAGGTCAAATGTCTTGATTTTGCTCAAAAAGCTTGATGTACTTATTCTTATCTTGTCGCCGGTTCGATCCTGAGAAAAGTCATTAACTTTTTGACAGTTCGAAGCTAGACTCAGCTGTTCCTGGTTATTAGGCTTAAATAAATGATCATGTCTAATGAAACAACTGATCTTAGTCGGTTACAAAGCTACAGATCATCTCACACCATTCTACACTCATCTTCACCTCAAAACACCCTGATTTCGTTGTCTAATATTATCTTACCATCACCAAGCTACACAGGGACGAAAGTAAAAGTGGTGAGCTCATGAGATAGTCTCTTTACCAGGTAACCGGGACACAGCCTTATCTCAGTGATAGCAACAGGTTATCCCTTCTGACGTGGTTTACAACCCGTCTACCAGATGATAAGGTGTGACTTGTAAAGTTGAAAGGATTTAGCAAAACATTATGTAGGCTTGAATACGAAAATAGTACAAAACGTGAACAATTCTTGATATTTCTAAATATACCGTTACACTTTATAACACGTGGAATATGTTCGTAAAAAACGTTCTTTTGGTCAAACCGAGGCTGTTCATGATTATATGTTTTTGTCTGTAAATAATTAATGTAATCATTCCAAGTCCTTCCGAATAATAATGATTTCAATATGGAAACAATTTTAAGTAAAGTGTAATTATTTTCTACGAGCTATGAAGTACTTAGTTAACTGTTTCAACAAACTTTAATTTTTTAAATTACGAGTAACTTTGGTGAGTCAGTATGCAGGAATGTTGGAGGCGTTTGCGTTGTCTGGCGCTATCAGACAAGGAGAATGTCGGTGATTAGACTAAATAAACACTCGTCTGCCAGACACCACCGCCCTACAGCACGTGTCTACCTATACAGAACATGTGGATAGCTGGGTAGTTCAGTAGTTAGACTCATCTATATGGACCAGCTGTAGCCAATTATTTATTAAAAAAGAATGTAGTTGTGTGAGCCAATCACAGAATGTGCTAGTGTCTAAAATTATATTTCTATTTTTTGTTGCTGACCAGGTTGATGGGTCATAACAGTTGCTATATCTCATCATAAGTCATTCCCTAAGTTTGGCTTGGTTAAAACGATTGTGTATTCGGCAGAATTTAGTAATGTAGATCAGCGCAATCTGGTGGCTAACATAAACTATGACAATTTTCATAAAAAAGCTGGATACAAATTTAACATGAGGATGGAATGTCTAGTAGTAGGCCTACGTCAGAGGGTCATTTCAAGATGAGGAGTGCCAATTGAAATTTACTCTATGCAAATTAAAGTGATGATAGCTTTTAGCTAAATTGATGTTAAGTTTCTGCCAACTATAATATAACTAATATATAACTTAAGCTAAACTGCTCTAATTTAAAACCTAACCTAGCACAACCTAACTTGTATATCACAAATTTCAATACAGACAGAAAATGATCGGTACCTCTGGCTATGAGTAATTTTTTCTGCATTGAATAGCCTCTAGACTAAAAGTTATACAAAATTATTAAATAGCTTCTTGATCAGCATCGTACGTGCTAAATTACCTGAAAATAAAAAAAAATTGTTAACACTCGTTATAATATATTTACTCTTATCTGTTTATTCACAAGATGAAATTACTGAAAATGTAAATGTAAATACATATGAAAGATGGTAAGTGGTACCATCCAATTACCATATTTTATATGTATCTACCGTCTTGTGAGTACACAGTATAAGTGTAAAAATATTACTATACGTGTTATTTGACGTATTTTTTTATTTTCAGACAACATTATTACCATTAAAAGAAGTAAAATTTACGTGTTACAAACATAGAAGGAATAAAATGTCTTTGGAGATTAAACAAAAAAAAACTTAATTTCATTGGGCTTTTTGGGTATAACAACAAAATAACTATGTACCAGTCAACTTTTACGTTTACTAACTTTTATGAGATTACTAATAATAAAGTAATTTTGTAATTTTGTCTTAATTCTGATATTTCGCAACAATCATGACTCAACCTCAATTAATTGACATGATTCACACGAGTATCATCACATGGTGCTCATCTGTTCAACGAAACAGATATGATAAAGATAATATCACCGCAACGGTTATTTTAGGAACGGTTTGTTTGGTGTAACAGTTGCACATTGATCGCAATTAATCAACCGCTGACGTCTGTTCCTTTCTGGCGATGTTCCAAGTGAGTCACTGTTATCAGCGGTCAGATAGATAATAGTTGGGCAATGCTAATTGTTACTTTGGATGAGGCTGTAGTTTACAATTTAAGCATTCTTACAAAACTAGTAAAACTGCAAAGACTATAATTGAAGTTGACGATTACTTATCACTAGATTAATAACTATTTATTATAAAATGAATGTTTAAGGGGTGATCTTGTTAGCTCAAACGTGTTGGATAATAAAAATAAAAAAATAGTGGACTTAATTTGTATTATTGCGTTACCGTATTAATTTGCAACATTTTAAATTATTATTCTGAAAGTCGTTGATTTAACAAAAACCGAGATCTATTCTGGAAAAATGAAACAACGTTGTTCTAAGTTGGAAATAAGTATTTCCCTCATGTTCTTATTTATTATGTTAAGTTAAATAATATCTTTTAGTATGGGTCCAACGTTGTATTTATCAAGCTTATATTCACTTATAAAATATATCATGTTATGCGACAACGTATATTCATGTATTTTAAGGGATTGCTGAAAACAATGAAAGTTTTAACGATATGCTAGATAACCTTTGTAAAAACAAAAGCTTAAGAAAATCTGTATAATTTTCGATAGTAAACATGATTTATGACTAATCCTTTTAATAAATAAACTTAATCATAAAAAATCAGATTTTTTATCATTAGTAACGACAGAAATACAACACTATTCCCACGGCTGTCACCTTTTAAAAGTTATCATTTTAATACTTAACCCAGGTAATGTTTACACTGCGCCTACACTATGGGAAGTTTCCATAGTGTAACATATAGTTTACTAATAAAACGCCTTAAAAGAATGTGTTTAACTAATGAAAAGGGGAAAAAACTTTCTAATCATTCAGTTATGATTCTCAATGGTTGGGTGTGATTACAGTTTTTGTGAATATAAAAATGTATTTAAATTGTATTTTTCAACTATAAAATAAATTTCATCGATCACAAGTAAGCTCAGTGGGTCTAATTTATAAGATGGTTGTGTAATTCGAAAATGTTTATAAACATTACTTGTTTGTGGGGAAAATAATTAAATTATATTTACAAAAACATTGATTTTTTACTTTACTAAGGCAATTTTGTATATTGAAAAAAACGATGCTTGGTGTAAAGATACAAATACGCTTCTTTTAAAATTGCATTAAGGAAATTAATATTTTTGGCAGCATGTAATTTAGATATTGAGTTATCCTAGGTTCAACAGTTAACTATCATAGCATCTCAACACATATATAGGGGTAATATTATTATTTGCAAAGCTTAGGATCTTACAACGGGTCACTTATATAAATCTGTATGCGTCTCAATCGATAAGAATATCATATCCAATTGTGACCCAAGAAGTATAACATCAACCCTAACTCTTCCAACTCCGCATATCGGATCCCAACACCCTTCCCTAGTTGGTTGTAAAACCCTTGTATTGGTCAGTCTATGACACTATAAATATTGTTTTCAAGCAAGCTTAGGACATTACAGACGTTTCATCGTAGTGAACCTTTAACTTATCAATGTATTATTCAATAAATAGGAAGAGTTCAAATTTCACCCATTGCACATCAAATTAAATTACTCAATCTTATCATCTTACTCACCCAACTCCTGTAAGAATCAGCCTGTTCCTTCTGGTCCTCAAATCCTTCCTCCTCACTCTGTTCCTCCTCCTCAGCATCCTCCCTATCCTCTCGTTGCTTCTCCTTCTCACTGATGATCTTATCCCACCGGTCCATGTCCAGGGGGGACACTGAGCTGAAGGGGAAGTCATCATCCCACAAAGAGTTCTCCGGTTCTTCCGTAGAAGATGATAAGGGTGGTTGAGTTGTAATGCTGTCCAGCCTGTTCATCAACCTATCCAAGTTGTATTCTGAATGGGAGTGTCTGTGACGATGGACTTGGTCGTAGCCGTCCACTAGGATGAGTAAGGAGAGAAACAGTAAAGGTTTCATTGTTGGAAAAATCACTAAAAATCGGAACACAGATATCACTTCGACACTTCACTTTTCGTATCCCGAACTCGCGAAGTACGAAGCTCCTCGCGGCACGGTCCAAAACACACTGAGCTCGAGCTCAGAGATGCATCTGAGCTCTCGCCCCCCGTTGGCACGTGCCCCCCCTCCAATCATCTGGTCCACTAGGGTCACCCGGAGGAATCATCAATGAGTAAGAGTGGTTTGACAAATCGTTATTTGTTCCGATCGTTTTGATGGAAATATGAAGAGTTTTTATAAAACTTTAAGAATAGTTTGAAAAATACTGGAAAATTTTGAATGTGAATTCATTTGATCGACCTAATTGCCGTATACATAATAGTAAATCACAATATTTACAGTTGACTAACAATATGCACTCAAAAGATTGAAATAATTGACATTGAAAAATAGCATAACATTAAAAGTGACTTGTTAGAAAATGCACATAAATAGCACCAAAACTTACCATACACATGGAGTTAATCATGGTTTTCCTAGCAGTAGGATGTGTAACACAAGGACAATAGTAGTAATAGTAAAAACGGCACCGTTTTAATCTATATTATTTTGTTAATAGTATCTTTTGATTTCACCATCAGTGTAGTGGATTAAAGTATTATGTAAAGCAATGAATTTTGTTTATTCTTAGTTTTAAATATCTCAATATGTTTAACTGCTACAATTTAAATTTAATGTACAAAATCAGGATAACATTGAAGAAATTTAATAATTGCATTTTCATTATATTTCATGCATTAGTTAACTTGCCGTTGATTCTATTTAGGGTTAGGCAACTATATAGACAATGTAAAAAAGCTTGTAAATGTATTTTTCAGCTTCAAAATAGGTATTGAGTATAATACAATGGGAAAATAAAGAAATTATCCGACTTTGATTCGTACAGAAATTTTAAATGGGGACATTGTTAACCCATGAAAACCTTTTGATACCAAGGAACTTTTTAATGTACCGCAGTGTATGCGTAAGAGGCTATACAATGTGTAATTTAAACCGTCAAACACGCACAATATTATTAAAATATTTTAATAATATCTAAAAAATAATTAAAGTATTTGAACGCTATGGGGATTTGCTTAGGGTGTATCTTCCAATAAATTACATTGCCGATGGTTTCTATACAAACGGAAGTTTACATGTTAAAAGAAAACAAGAAAAGTAATCCAGGCCAAGTGAAGGTCGCGTGGAGGTTTAGTACTACACGCTTCTTAAGATAAAGTGACCTTCTTTTCGACGTTACGATGAAATAATAGACTCAAGTTGGAATCGAACGAAAAGATTTCGTTCTAGTTCAATTGTTGCATGAAGAAATCTCCATATTGTTTGGACGATTTAGGAGTATTTTGTTTTCAAACCTGTCAATCTTAAGGTAAATTATTTTAATTCAGTAATGTTATATGTATTATAGGTTGAGAATAATATAAAGCCTTAGGTCCAAATCCCCCTAGTTACCAATACCTTTTAACAAGATAATAACGTAATAGTGCAGTACAGAGCCCACTCTAAGCTGTTGGTCATTTAATCCGGGAAATTTAAAAGAAATTTTCGTTTAAAACGTTCAATAATAAAAACACGACGATAATGTTTGTATCTCAAAACCGGCTATACAATTGGTACTGGTTACATATGTAATACAAATTAATAAACCGAAAATTAATACCTTATACAAAATACAGTTTTCGGATCTCAGAAACTATTTTAATGCATGCACATGTTACCCGTGTGAATCTTAAAACAACCATTATATGACATATAGGATTTGCATGAATCATATAAATTTACATCTTCTGAGTTGTAGCACAGAGTCTTACTCTAAACAATTAAAACATGTCAATATAGATCAATACATAGTTTAATAATCATAAAAATACAGGTTAAATTGTGCATTAAAATCGCAGTTACAAAATTACAAAGTGTAAAAGGGGACACACTTTTTACTGGTGGTGTTAAACGGTTATACACAAAAAGAACATTGCCTTGTTTCAATTATCGTTCTTTAGGGGAGAACAAAGTTGTCAAATCGCCCAGAAAACTTTTAAGGGTCGTTGCTTTAACCGAGAGTCGTGTTTTTATCGAGTGAATGCCCGTTAAATGGTTTGTAACTACTATTATTCTTCTGGAAATATGTATTTCTTCTCCATATTACTTTTTCTTAGTCTGTGTTCGAAGTAAATTGAATTGATGTCAAAATCGTACCCATCGGGTATTATATTTGTCACCAAATTTGGTCATTTTTTACTATCAAATTTTAGTTAAAAAAGCTTTTATTGTTTTTACGTTTAATTTTTTTAAACTTGTGAACACCCTCATGTTAAATTTGTATTCGTCGGATGTAAACTTTCGTAAGGTTTTGGAACAAATCCGATCTAGTTTAATTAAAATTTAGTGTCAAACCCCCTGTCATCTAAAAAAGTATTTTGAATGTAATTACTCTTATCAGTGATGAAGCTGTTAAAGTTTGACCTAGTAAATTGTATTGCTATCTTTGTCTATATGATTGCACACAAATTAATTTGGTACTCGATAGTTATATTTTAAGATATTTTATTGACATCAGACACCTAGTTTTATACAACATCACGCAAGATAGTGGAATGAATATATAAATAATATTAGAATAAAAAAAAGAAAATAAATGAAATTGAAAAAGGGAATTTTACGCAAATATCATACAAAAAATCAAAAGATTTGTTGAAAAGGCCACTTGTCTTTCAAATTAGAAAAGTTATTAGATGATAAAAAATGGTAAAACAAAAACTTATTGGAATAGTTAATAAAAACTAAAATTTGAACTTTTAACAATTAAAACTACGGATATTAGGTTTATAGTTACTTATTATAGTTACCTAATACGCAATTTACTAACTAACTTAGCTGCTACTACTTGTAGCTATTCAAAAGCTCCTTTTATCTTGCCTAAGAAGCTCAATTCCTTGGTAGAATGTTGCATTTCCCTTAACACATAATTTCGAGAACATAATATCCTCGATACTTTTATCGCAAACTTAGAGAGTTAATAGAAATCTAGTAAATGAGTAATCGTGGTCCTGTAATTTTAACCTAACCGATACGTGATGTTAAAAGATGCCAACGTATTTTTGTATTCATATATTTAAGTAGCTGACAACTTTGACCACTTTTTCCAGAAATCATACTAGAAGTGATGCTGCTATTTACGTTATTTAATTGGAAATAAACTCCCACAAAGTCTCAGGATTAATTGAAACCAAAATTAACCATACACAATATTAACTTAGGCTATATTAACTTTTGTCAATTAACAGTAGACTGGTTTTAAGAGGATGGCAAAAAATCATAGCCCAGAGGTCTGCGTAACCAAGTACGCTCTAGTGATCACCTTGATATACAAAAGTTGCTAGTTCAAACGCGGAGTAAGATGATTCTGGAGCCAGCAACTATTTCTAGTTGGACTATGCATTTTTGATAATAACTAAAAGAAGTTTATTGTTCGATAGCACCAAGACTAGGTTTGGACAGTTCCCTTACAAAACCGTAAGACATCCACATGACGTTGAAAAACACAATCCAAATTAAAATCTTATTCTTACAAAATCACACATAATACAAGGTGATTATAAATGAATGACCCAGTTTTAACGCTTTATAACTTTTATACTATTAAACTTACCGCTATAAAATACCCATCAAACGAAAAAGCAACTCAAAGAGTTTATCCCTTCCAAAGACACATCATTTAACAAAATCGATCCAGCAGAACTGGAGATTTAATTGTACAAAGTTAAAAAGTAATCTCCAACTTTTTTTACCATTACAAATTTGGAGGTTACTTGACGTTTTTGCAAACAACTTTTAAATGGTGAGGAAATCGACCAAAGTGGAAGGTAATATTTCGAAAGAGAATAACATTTCCTACAATCTACTATTATGCATTTTTTGAAAAAACTCAATAAATGTAGCCTAAATTTGGCTTAAAATGAAAAAGTGTGAAATTTAATGTTTGCTATGTTTATTGTCCACATTAAAGACGGGGTTTTTCAATTTTTTTTAGGCAATTTTTGGTAACTTTCTTGAGTATTTTCAAAAAATGCATAATAGTAGAATGTAGGAAATTTTATTCTCTTTCAGAATATTACCTTTCACTTTGGTCGGTTTCCTCACCATTTAAAAGTTATTTGAAAAAACGTCAAGTAACCTCCAAATTTCTAGTGGTAAAAAGTTGGAGATTACTTTTTAACTTTGTACAATTAAATCTACAGTTCTGCAGGATCGATTTTGTTAAATAATGTGTCTTTGGAAGGCATAATCTCTTTGAGTTGCTTTTTCGTTTGATGTGTATTTTATAGCGGTAAGTTTAATAGTATAAAAGTCATAAAGCGTTAAAACAGGGTCATTCATTTAGAATCACCCATGTCAAAACAGTATTATCAAAACAAAAAAAAAACTACTACTCCTTTTACAGGGACGAGACTCTATTTTTAAGCTTTACCATTTTACCTATTTTATTACGATTCTTTGAGCTGGCTGATTGAAATATGGCAAAGCTATAAAGTGAGATGTTGAAATATAAACTTAACTCTGCAGCGAGAAAACAAACCATAAAACTGCAAATAAGCAAATAATTCAAGCCAGATTACACAAAGCCAGTTTAACGAGACGTGTGAATAAGTTCGTCCTCACTCGAAGCACAACTCGGCTGTGAATCAAACAAGTTTCTCTCTGTTGTATTTAACTATCAGCATATTGTTCATTATTTGCTCCACTGGAACAAGACTCTGACAAATACAGAGTAAACAGTTTAACGGTGTGTGAAAGTTATTGGATTTAGAGAAATCTTTAAGTTAGGAGTTTTGTTTTTATGCTAATTAAGATTGTGTAACAATTTTAAAGTAAAGTCTTTTTACAATAGTGGTAAAATATAACTTTTTGGTAAAAAAAATTATATATATATTTAATGTAACAGATTCACATACTGTAATTTACTAGAAAAATAAAAATTTTGAGTTTGGTATTTTTCTATAACCGTATCGGAGAAACATTCAAGAAATATAGAAATGTTTTTGTACAAGTAA